GCAGAGGCATATAGGCTATAGCACAGTGAAAAGCCCAAGTAAGTTTTCCTCTTGGAGGAGAGGAGCACATAGGAAAAAACAGAGAAGAATAGCTCAAAACACCTTAGAAGGAAAGCAGTTCCAACAAAGAAGATAATACAAGGAGGGGCTAAGAAGACCTTCCGCTCCAGAGCTCAGACCAGTTTTGTCCTGGGGTGCATCTTGACCACCCTTGCTCGTTAAGTCCAGGGCCCCCAGTTCCAATGTTCTTCTCTGCTCTCTTTTCCTAGTTTGGTTCATTCAACAAATAGTAAATATTTATTTAAGCATTCTTGTGTACCTGTATACAGGCCCAGGTACATAGTGGATAAAACAGAAAAAAATCCTTATCCTTTTGGAGCTCATATTTTTCCTTCTGTAAATCCCCCCCAAGGCATATATTACCCCCAGCTCTACTCCTGTCACCAAAATTCCACCTCTGCTACAGGGATATAATTGGGTATTTTTTGGTGTTCATTTTGTTCCTGACCCATGTAGTTGCTTTTCTTCTTTTGGTTGGTTGTGTGATGTAAATTTAAAGATAGACTGAGGAAAGCCTGGAGTTCCTGCCAAAGGATAATAATATGGGTGGACAACAGAGATGTTTAGGTTAAACACAGGCAATTTATATGTTTTTGAAAACAGATTGGAAATATAGAGGATAAAAATAAGGGAGATTACTGAAGGAAAGGCAGTAGACGGCTGCTTTGAGTATCTGCTGTGTGCAGAGCTTTTTTAGATGTTACGGGGGATGAATGTCAACTAAAAATATTAAAAGATAAGTTAGTACTGAAATAATTGGAACTAGCATAATAAAGTGGAAGGGGTGTTAGACTAGAAATCTGCTAACCAGATTTCCTAATAAGTACCCTGAAGAAGTCAGCCTTTCTGGCCTTCAGTTCCTTTGTCTGTGGAATGGGAATAAAACTGGATCAGTGAGGGCTTCCCTGGTGGCGCAGTGCTTGAGAGTCCGCCTGCCGATGCAGGAGACGCGGGTTCGTGCCCCGTTTCGGGAAGATCCCACATGCCGCGGAGCGGCTGGGCCCGTGAGCCATGGCCACTGAGCCTGCGCGTCCGGAGCCTGTGCTCCGCAAATGGGAGAGGCCACAACAGTGAGAGGCCCGCATAACGCAAGAAAAAAAAAAAAAAAAAAAACTGGATCAGTGAGTGGTTCACAACACTGTACGTTAAAAACTTCTGGGAGGCTTTTACAATTCAGTTTTTGGAGGGTTGGGCTTGGCCCTGTTTTCAGAAGCTTCCACTGATATTATTTAAAAGCTCCCCGGGTCCAGGTTGAGAACTGCTGCACAGGATCAAAGGCATTTCCAATTATGACGTCTTAACATTTTATGAAATAAGCATAGCATGAACAACTATAGCTGTGGAAATATATGCAAATAGGATTGTTGGAATGATTAATGTTAAGATACTATTATTAAGAAATCAACAGGCTGCTGTAACAAAGGGGGTAACACCGTTCTTTTTGCCATTAACTTCTTTCATTCCTGTCTTATTTTCCTGCATGTTTGGTTGTTTTTTTTTTTTTGCGGTACGCGGGCCTCTCACTGCCGCGGCCTCTCCTGTTGCGGAGCACAGGCTCCGGATGTGCAGGCTCAGCGGCCATGGCTCATGGGCCCAGCTGCTCCGCGGCACGTGGGATCCTCCCGGACCGGGGCACGAACCCGTGTCCCCCGCGTCGGCAGGCGGACTCTCAACCACTGCGCCACCAGGGAAGCCCTCCTGCATGTTTCTTATAAAGAGTGTTAAATGTTTTTCTGCAGTTTTTTCTTAATAAATGTTGCCTGATAAGCAGCTTTGAATTTCCACACATCTATAGAAAGTTTTAGTTGCTGTTTCTTATCACTGGAAAACTCCTTAGTTTGTTAATCCAGGGACTAATGAATGTGAGAGTAAGCAGTGGGGCCTGGAAAATCTCAGCATCCTCAGCAACACTGACACTTTAGACCATTAGTGTGATGAGGACTTTTATAATAGTGGTGAATATTCCTTATTATTTCCGAAAGGATAACTTTGAGGACATTGTCTATTTATATTTTCCCATTCATTCCTTTACATAATTAACTGAGGTAATATAGTTTTATTGAGAAACTTTTTTTTAAAGATAGTCATAAGATCTCAGAGTTGGAGGAAGAATAAAAGTTAACTGATGGTTGAATTCTTTATTCACTACCCTAGAGAAATGGTTGTCTGAACTGTATTTGAACCTCTCAGTTATCTGGCAACTAACTCTCAAGAAAGCTTATTCCATCTTTGGAAAGCTCTGATTATTAGAAAGTTATTTTCTTATGTTGAGAGGACTAAAGTCTAACTCTCTGGAGTCCCTTGGGACCATAATACACTCTGTTTCTGCTTCATGTTGAAAAGTTCTTCAGTTGACTTTTCACATCTTAATTCTTCTCCAGCTAATTACATCCGTTCTCTGGCTGTTTTGTATAGCTTTGTTTTGAGACACTTTATCTTGTTTATTCATATCACTTTTTTTTTTTTTTTGGTACGCGGGCCTCTCACTGTTGTGGCCTCTCCCGTTGCGGAGCACAGGCTCCGGACGCGCAGGCTCAGCGGCCATGGCTCACGGGCCCAGCCGCTCTGCGGCACGTGGGATCTTCCCGGATCGGGGCGCGAACCCCTGTCTCTGCATCGGCAGGCGGACTCTCAACCACTGCGCCACCAGGGAAGCCCTATTCATATCACTTTTGAAATGTGTTAGCATACAACAATGTGTGTTTTGGAGGAGAGGGGTTTGCTTTTAAAACCAGCCTTCAATAAGAGATTTCTCAACTTTGCTCATACTGTATGCTATAAGTTAATTTTGTATCACATAAATTGATCTCAGTCATGCCACACTGTAACCCTTACTTTTGACTAGTAAGTTTTTCAATTTGTCAGACTTTTTGCTCATAACCTAGTTATTTGTAAATTGGACTTCTTAGATGTAACTGTAGGACTTCATATTTATTTCTTCATACTAAATTTTATCTGGTATATCAATATTTTTGAATCTGAATCCAATGAATTCACCATACTTTTAAAAAGCTTGGGATATTGTACAGAATTGATAATCATATCCTTTGTTATACACATGTCCAGGTGGTTGGCAACCATGTCAAATAGGCAAAGTCATTTTTCCATAGTATATACAAAGCTAAGGCCCAGACCTATGTGCTGTAGATACTCGAGTCCTGTTCCCTGCTACTAGAAAGTTCCCTCTGAGTAACACTGGCATATATTTTCTTAAAGATCTGCTTTCTAAATCTTCTGTAAACCTCGAACACTCTTTTCTTGGCTTTTCCTAAGGTTAGTGTGCTTCCTCTCACTTTTTAGATCCATTTTAAATGTATCCTCTTCAGAAAGGGCTTTTCTGGCTACCTCATCCCAAGTAGCCTCTCACAGTAATGGGAGCATTACTGTTTTATTAGATCACTTAACTTTGTTCAGCGACACAAGTATGGTTTATTATTTGCTTCCCCTCTTCTAGAATGTCAGCTCCATGAGGCTGGAGACTGTATCTTTTGGCACTTGGTGCTATGTCCCAAGCATCTGGCATAGTGCTTGGCACAAGTTAGGTACTCAGCTGTCAGTTGAAGGATGACTTTACTGCTGCAATGTTTTGTTGTAGTTTTACTTTGTGCATAATTTGGGTAACAAAAACAAAAGGAATATTTACTATACCTTTTTGAATGATTGTATTCACTTTCGCCAACTTTCCAGAGATTCTGTGACATTCCAGTGATGGGATAGCATACCTCTAGTTGGAAAATCTTTGCTTTGCTCTGATCACCTTTAATCACATCTGTAATTATCTTTACATCTAGCCCATGTTTTTTCTGTTCAGTATGCCCACAAAAGGATTTCATGAAAGATCTTATCAGTTACCCAGATACATGTAAAAGTGGACAGAATTTTAGAAATTTTTGTCTCAGATATGAGAAAAGCCTCTAATTGGGTAAATAATATCTAATTGGAATTTCAAGTAGAAGGATCCTAGTAGATTCCTTATTGAAATAAATATCTACTTGGTATTTATTTTATTTCCCTGACATAATGCTTATCAAAGTGGGGCTAGATACTTATTCTTTGTGAAGTTATATTGGGTTTTAATAAAGTATCTCTTTACTAGCTCACCTGGAGTCTTGTCTGGAATCTATATCAAGATTACCAGTCTATTGTTTGAGGACTCCATCTTTATTTGAAAATTAGAATGTTATTCAAAGAATATTGACTGTAATTCACCAGTTTGATTTGCTCGTTCTTCTGATTTTATTTTATTTTACTTATTTATATTTGACTGTGTTGAGTCTTCGTTGCTGCGCGCAGGCTTTCTCTAGTTGCGGTGAGCGGGGGCTACTCTTTGTTGTGGTGCGTGGGCTTCTCGTTGTGGTGGCTTCTCTAGTTGTGGAGCACGGGCTCTAGGTGCGGAGGCTTCAGTAGTTGTGGCCCGCGAGCTCAGTAGTTGTGGCTTGCGGGTTCTAGAGCCCAGCGTCAGTAGTTGTAGCACATGGGCTTAGTTGCTCCTTGGCATGTGGGATCATCCCAGACCAGGGGTCGAACCCGTGTCCCCTGCATTGGCAGGCAGATTCTTAACCACTGCACCACCAGGGAAGCAAGCCCTAGTTTGATTTTAAATTAACTTTGTCTTTTCTGTGTTAAAGGGCCAAGTGAAATATGTTTTGAGATAAAAGCTAGAAGCTCTTCTCAGATTCTGACAGGCTTTTCCTTGTCCATGTGTTCTTAAGTACACAAGTGATCATGGTTCCCATCTGTTGGTAGACAGAATTCATGCGGGTTATTCCATGCAGGCACCAAGTTTTATACCTGTCTGAAATTTTGTAATTTGAAAGTCCATAAATAAACATCTGTATGACTTAATCATTATTCTGAAGAGAATTGTGGTTGTTAATGAATTTTTGAAAAAGTACATTTTCTGTTTTAATAATATGTGTCTTTTTTCTCCCCCCACCCAGAGAATGGATCTTGGAGAATGTCTGAAAGTCCATGACCTGGCTTTAAGAGCAGATTATGAAATTGCATCCAAAGAACAAGATTTTTTCTTTGAACTCGATGTATGTCATTTTGCTTCAAGTTAGATTATCTTCTGCAGTAAAATATTTTGAATATGGATTCATCTCTCTTAATGGGAAAAGGCTCTTAGCAAATTATCTTTTTTGTGATTATATGAAGGGTAGTACTAAATTAAGATTATGTACTTTCTTGACTAACAATCATTTTTAAAAATAGGTGAAACTGGGCATTTTAAGAAAATGTGTGAAAGTTGTGCGCGTCATATATTCTTTTGAAAATTAAGCATGTTCTTCCCAATTAAGGTGGTTGTGATTAAGGAAATACCATCTTAAGCAAATGTAAACAACTAATTTCTAGTGTATATAAAGCCCTTTAATTACTGAATTTTTACATTCGTATTTATTTTTGTATTTGTCAGTATATATGTAGAGAGAGGGAGGATATTAAGGACAATGTTGTTTTTTATGTAAAACTAATAGGAGAAATATTAGGAAATAGAAGGTACAATTTAGGTATCTAAAGGGCTCAAACTCTTGACCTTTTTTTTAATACAAACATGACAATAATTGGGACTTTTTTTTTTTTTAATAGAAAACATACCGATCAGCATTACGTAAAACATACTGATGACCATAAACCTTATATGTTTTATCAGTGAGGTAGTAGATGTTTCATTTGGTTCGGGAGATAAAGTAGTAAATAGATCTACTTCTTTGAACTTGCAGGAATTTCTGCTAACGGAAATGAAGTCATCTATGTAAACATAATTTAATATGGGGCTGGAGCAGTCAGGGAAACACCTTAAAGTGATTGTGTTATGATTTAATCTACACTGGGCATAAAATACAGCAGAAATTCGCCACCATGTAGATGTAGGGGTATGGTGTTTTCAATCTTTTTCTCTTATGGTATGGTAATACATTGTTTTTACATATCAAGTATCTACAGATTAAATTTCTAGAAATAGAATAACTGAGTCAAAGGCCAGTTTTGCCTGGTTGCCCTCCATGAGAATTATCAATTTATACTCCCACCAGTATGTATGAAATTATCTATTTCCCATAGGCCACATAGTGTGCTGTCAAGATTTCTATGTAGCTTTGATAGATGAAATGTGAAATATAGTGTAATTTTAATTTGTATTTCTGTTATGAGTGAGTTTGAAAAAATTTTATAGGCTTAAGATCTGTTTTTATTTCCTTTTCATTGAACTGTCAGTGTACATTTTGCAGGGGGTGAGTGCTGTTTGCTAATCTTGGATGTTAGTATTTTTCTAATTGATTTGCACTGACTCTTTACAGATAACGAAAATTAGTCCCTTTTCTCAGATAATACATTGCAATTTTTTCCTGTTTCGTTTTTGGTAGTTGTGAGTCTTGCAAAATGTTTGTATAGTTGTCCAATTTATTAATCTTTTAAAAATCTATTCGATTAATTCAAAAGGCCTTCCCTATCCTGATGTGATGAGAATTCTATCTCATGATTTCTTCTGGAATTTTTATGGCTTTGTTTTATATATTTAAGTCTGTGATCCAACTTAAATTTATTCTGTTATAAGGAATTGAGGTATAGATCTCCCTTTTTCCAGATAGCTGCTTAGTTGACCCAGCACTATTTATGGATTAGTGCATCTTTTTTTAAAGATAAAATTTAAACTAAAAGAATTAAATAGCTGTTTGTTTCTCATCACAGATAAAAGGTTTATTTTGCATTTTCATGAAATTCATGGGTTAATCAACCATTTTTAGAATTTGATATGTGTTGAATAAATTTTTATTTTTAAGCATTTGTGTTTTGAATTAGCTGTATTTCTCTACAATAAGAAATGAAAGTCTAAATCGGTTGGTTTGGGAATAAATCTTTAAAGTTTACTTTTAAATGAATTATTATTTAATTATAGATGTATTAATATATGCCCGATGAGTGTCTTTTATAGACCTGGATTTTTGCAGTGTAGACATTGCTAAAATTCTCAGTGGTTTATTCTTTGAGAAAAGGGCAAGTTTTTCTGATTGTAACATTTTCATTGTGAAAAATTTGAAAAGCACATGAAAACAGATTATTAAAAATTATCCGTATATTCAGAAATAATTACTGTTAACATTTAATGTATCCTCTTCCATTTTTTCTGTGCTACTTTATTTTACAAAAATGGGATCTTGCTGCATTTAACGTTTTGTAACTTTTTATTTACAAATAAATCATGACCATTTTCTTATATCCTTAACGTGTTCTACTAACACGTTTTTTAAATGGCTGAGGATTAAATTTTCCAAGTGTTACCTGGATATTTAGGGTATTTACAACTTTTCACCATTAAAAATAACACTGTGAAGAACATCTTTGAATATTAATTCCCCCATATACCTCTGATTACTTTCTTAAAATAGATTTCTAGAAGTAAAATTACTAAGTCAGGGGTCATTCTTAAAGCTTTTGATAACGATTACCATGGTGCCTTTTTATAAAGGCTGTGCTAGTTTGTGCTTCCTTCAGCACAGCATGAGAGTGGCAGTTTCCTTATAGCCTTACCTTTCCTGGGAATTATTTATGTCTATTCTTTGTCAATTTGATAGATGATGAATAGGTTTTCAATTTGTAACTGAACCCAGTTTCGTTATTTTTTTATTCCCATGGTAGCACTTTAAATAATAAAGTGTAATTTGTGAGTAAAGATATTTATGAATAAGGTTGATTTTTCTTGCACTAATTGTCTTTTAATTAAACTTCGTAGGCTATGGATCATCTGCAGTCATTCATTGCAGATTGTGATCGAAGAACAGAGGTGGCTAAGAAAAGATTAGCAGAAACTCAGGAAGAGATCAGTGCTGAAGTTGCAGCAAAGGTAAGATTTTCAATCATTTCATTAATACAAAGTATAGTTTTACCTCACTACTTTTAACTTTTTATTTTGAAATAATTACATTCATAGGAGATTGCAAAGTCATATATAGGGAAATTTTACGTACTCTTCCTTTAGCCTCCCCTAGGTTAACATCTTACACAACTACAGTACAGTATCATAAGCCAATAAATTGGTATTGGGCCAATCCTTACATTTAATTCAGATTTCACCAGTTAGGCATATGTGTGTATAGCTCTATGCAGTTTCATCACGTGTTCCTTGGGTAACTACCACCATAATTAAGTTACTTAACTGTGTAGCATCACCACATACTCCCTTGTGTTACCCCTTTAGAGCCACACCCATTCCCCACTAGCCCCTGGTCACTACTAATCTATTTTCCATCTCTATAATTATGTAATATCATTGACTGTTATGTAAGTGGAATCATGCAGTATGTATCCTTTTGAGATTGGCTTTTTTCACTCAACACAACTTCCTTACCATTCATACAGGTTGTTCATCAGTAGCTCATTCCTTTTTATTTTTGAGTATTCCATGGTATGTATATACCACAGGTTAACCATTCACATATTGAAGGACATTTGGGAAGGACATTGCGGTTATTGGCTAATACCAATAAAGCTGCAGTAAATCTTTCTGTACAAATTTTTGTGTGGACATACGTTTTCATTTCTCTGGGATAAATGCCCAAGGATACAGTTATTGGATCATTTAGTAAATATATTTTTAGTTTTGAAAGCAAGTGCCAAACTTTTCTAGAGTGGCTGTACCATTTTACATTCCTGCCAGCAGTGTGTTAGTGATCCAGTTTCTCCACATCCATGCCAGCATTTGATGGTGTCACTATGTTTCTTTCTTTTCTTTTCTTTTTTTTCTTTTTTTTTTTTTTTTTTTTTTTTTTTTTTTTTTTTTTTTTTTTTTTTTTTTGGCTGTGCGGTGTGGCATGTGGGATTTTAGTTCCCTGACCAGGGATCAAACCCGTGCCCCCTGCATTAGGAGTGTGGAGTCTTAACCACTGGACCGCCAGGGAAGTGCCACTGTGTTTCATTTTAATCATTCTGAAAGGTGTGTGGTGATAATCTCACTGCAGTTTCAGTTTGCATTTCCCTAATGACTAATGATGCTGAACATTTCTTCCACGTGCTTATTTGCCAACTGTATAACCTCTTTTGTATAACCTCTTCAGTGAAATGTTTGTGTATGTCTTATGCCCATTTTCCAAATGGATTGCTCATTTTTTTGATGTTGAGTTTTGAGTATTCTTCAGATGTTCTACTCTACTCACTACCTTTTAAAAATGTTTTGTTGACTACTTATATGCAAAAAGTAAATAGAAAAATACAGTGAACCCCAATGGATTCGAAGCCATCAGTCTTGTGCTATTGTTTCATTATTTTAAAAGCAAATTCTAGACGTCATATCATTTCACCTCTTAAACATAACCACAAAATTACATCTATAAAGGTAACAATTTTTAAAAATTATCCAATATCCAGAATGTGTTCATTTTTCCTGTGTAGAGTTGGTTTGTTGAATCAGAATTCAAAGTCCACATATTGACTTTTGTTGGTTTGACTTACTACTTTATAGTATTTTGTACCATTCAGTATAGTCTGGCACATTGTATGAAAATGCAGAATGGAGACAAAGTTACTCAGTAGAGTTTAGGTGACGTGGTTAAATATAGTGCTCATATATGTGTGTACAAAGGGAAATGGATTTCTTTGTTTGAGGAGAGGGTTACCTTTAACCAACTTTTTCTGGAAAGTTCCCTTAAGATGGGGACTGTAAAGATGGGCATCCTGAAGTACAAGGAATCTCATTTCTCATGGTTGAAAGAGATCCACAGGTGTTGGCTAGACCCCAGCTGTATTGATTTATACAGTATTGTATTGGTTATCTATCACCACAAAAATGCTGTCTAACAGACTACCTCAAAACTTAAAACATTAAATATTTATGTAGCCCATGAGTCTATAATCAGTGACTTAGGCTGAACTTGACTGGGCAGTCATTCCTGTCTCAGCTGGGCTCACTCACATGTCTTCCAGTCGGCTGGAGGCTGCTGAACTATGGCCTAGAAGGCTAGCCTGGCCATGTTCCCATGGTGGTAGCAGAGGTGCAAAAGTATCAAGCCCCGTCATACAAGCACTTTTTAAGCCTTCCCTTATGTCATATCTGCTACCGTCCTGTTAACCAAAGCCAGTTACGTGGCCAGGTTCAGAGTCAGTGTGTGATGGTACTCAGTTACGTAGCAAAGGGCACAGATGCAGGAAGGGTGAAGAGTTTTGGTCGTTAATGCAGTCATTCTGTGGCAGGTATTTGCAGAAGATATCATTTTGTTAAAAGTGGTAGGATAATGATAACAGAGTTGGGGATTTCTTTGAGGGACAAATATATTGGATTGAGGTAAATTTAAGAAGTAAAGATTACTGGCACACTACTTTGTTGGGACTGGATATCCATTTCAAATCAAAACCTTCTTTGCAGAACTTGCCTGGTGGTCCAGTGGTTAAGAATCCTTCTTCCAATTCAGGGGACACGGGTTTGATCCCTGGTGAGGGAACTAATATCCCACACGCCACGGGGCAACTAAGCCCACGCGCTGCAATGACTGAGCCCGCACTCCACAACTAAGACCCAGTGCAGCCAAAGGCGAAAACAAAAACTTCTTTACTAATATTATTGGCCACACAGGCTGAGTACTTATTTTGTAGCCAAAGTAAAGACTGTGTTTATGTTACCATGTGCTGTTAAAACAATAAGAATGAACTAGATTCCCACGATGATGGTGGTGGTGAGGAGGAGGCATATCAAAACGCAAGGCAAGAATTAATCCTAATGGAAAGACATGGACTAAGAGAGAAGGGTGCCATGCTTGTCTACTGAATATCAGTAATGTGCTGCGTGCACGTACAGGCACGTTTTCTCGTTTCTCACAACTTTGTGAGATTATCGATACTTCTCAGATGAGGAAGTAGATTCAGGTTACGTAATATGGCCAGAATTGCATGGCTGTTCATTGGTTTGGCAGTTGGACTCTAAAGCCATATCTTTGCTTTAAAGAACATCCTCCAGTTCATTTCTTTTACTCATGTTTGAGTGTATGCTATTTCTTGGGCATTGGAAATACAAAAATGGTATATAGATATCTTTAAAGTGGTGTGATATATATAAAAGTAATGGTCATAGAAGATACTAAGATGGCACAAAGGAGGGTATTGCCCTCTCTGCTTAAGTGTCTTAAGTGAGGGTAAGGTGTGGTGATTGATTGTTCACCAGTGCTTCACATAATAGACTCTTGAGTTGAATCTTACTGAATAGACAGACATACACTAGGCAGGTAAGGGAGGTAATGGACGACATCTCAGGAAGAGGGAGCAGTACGTGCAAAGTCACAGAGGAAGAAAACAACAGGGTAAGTTTAGGAAACTAAATATAAGTGTACATTTGTTGTGAAGTTGGAGAACAGAAAGAGATAGTTTGGAAAGGTACAGAGAGCCAAATTGTGCACAAAAATGTATTTTATACTTGGAATGCACTGCCAGAGCAGAGGTTGAGAAGTAATAGTTACATTGAGATCAGTTGTACCCCTGAATTCACTGAAGTAAAGGCAGGCAGGCTCAAGAGTATCTTGATGTCCCACCAGTTCATTTACGATATGCTCAGAAAGCATTAGTTATACTCATATTGCCTTAGATAATTTGTGTCTTTTTATGCAATATTTTGAACTTTGGTACATTCTGCTTTTTATTCATGATCTTTTCTGATTCTCTCCAGGCAGAACGTGTTCATGAGTTAAATGAAGAAATCGGTAAATTGTTGGCTAAGGTGGAACAGCTAGGAGCTGAAGGGAATGTGGAGGAATCCCAGAAAGTAATGGATGAAGTAGAGAAAGCACGGGCAAAGAAAAGAGAAGCAGAGGTAACTAAATGCTTTATGGTAGTTTATAGAGCCTTAGTGTCTGTACTTCCTAAAGAACATATATTTGACTAGAAATTATTGAAAAATTATTACTATGAAAGGAAATTTAAACCAGTTTAAAAATATTTAACTAGTTTGTATCATACTAATGGGTTGTATATCAAAATTAGTGGTTGTTTTGGAATTTAGAGTCATTGATCTATTGAAATTTATAACTAGTAAATGAAATTAACTAAACTAGCTAGTCATACACAACAGTCTCACACACAATCCACACACATGCAGTCTTCATATACATGGTCACTATGATACCCTACCCCCTACTCCATGGCCCATGCAACTATAGTATTCTCCCTTCTTACTTGGTACAGTCTGCTAACACATTGGGAGCCTCCTCTCATTCTTCCTCCACAGCACAGATCAAACTCTGATATCCTGCAGACAAAGTTCTATTTTGTTTGGTCTCTCTGATATTTTTTAGAAAATCGAATGCCTTTGGATGAAAGTGTAACTCTCCCCTTTACCATAGTCTCCATTGTTCCTAACTGTATCACACCTGGGTTTAATTTTTTCTTATTATCTAGCCTTTTAAGGCAGAAGCTCAGATAATTGGTTTATTTTTTAATTTTATTGAAGTATAGTTTATTTACAATGTTGTGTTAATTTCTGCTCTGTAGCAGAGTGACTCAGTTATACACATGTATTCTTTTCTATTCTGTTTTATCACAGGATATTGAATACAGTTTCCTGTGCTCTACAGTAGGACCTTGTTGTTTATGCATCCTATATATACTAGTTTGCACCTGCTAATCCCAAGCTCCCAATCCTCCCTCCCCACACCCCTTAGATCATTGATTTTAGACCATTTAATGCTGTAAGTTTTCTTCTAAGCACGATGGTAGCTTAGAAGGTATGAAACAGATTTTCATATATTGTGTTTTTATTTTCATTTCTAAATATTTGCTAATATTGCTTTGTGATTTCTTTTTTGACTTGTGGGTTTTGAAGGCATGTGTTTAGTTTTTACATATTTGGATTTGTTTTTTGATTGTTTTTTTCAGATTTTTTCTGTTAATTTTAATTGAGTTCTGTTGTGGTCAGAGAACATGTGTGTGATTTCAGTTTTCTTAAATATGTCAATACTTGTTTTGTGGCCCTGCATATGGTCTGTCTTGGTGAACATTCCATCTGTACTTGAGAAGAATGATATTCTGCCTTGCTAAATGGAGTGTTCTATAAATGTCAATTGAGTCAAGATAGTTAATAGATTTTTTTCAAGTCTTCTGTATCCTATTGAGTTTTCTGCCTATGAGAGGAGTGTTGAAGTCTCTATAGTTGTGGATTTGTTTGTTTATGCTTTTCATTTTGTCAGTTTTTGTTTTATTTTGAAGCTCTGTTATTAGGCTAATAGACATTTAGGAGTGTTGTATCTTTTAATTTAACCCTTTATTATTATGACCTGTCCTTCTCTGTCCCTGTTAATGTCCCTTGTTTTGAAATCTCCTTTATCTTACGTTAATAAAAGACTCTCCAGCTTTCTTCATAAGTTGAAGTTGGGTACTATAAACCCTAGAGAAACCACTGGAGGGGAGAAAAGAGTTATAACTAATAGTAGCAATAAAATGGAATCCTAAAAAAATACTTAATCCAAAAGAAAGGAGAAAAGGAACAAACAACAGATTGGACATATAGAAAATAAATAGTGGGATGGTAGACTTAAACCCAGTGTACCAATAATTACATTAAATGTAAATGGTCTCAACAATCCAATTGAAAAGCAGAGATTGTGAGACTAGATTTAAAACAAAACAAAACAACAACAAAAAACCCCCACAAGACTTAGCTATATACTAGCTACAAGAAACCCAGTCTAAATACAAAGACACAGATTAAAGGTTCTAGGCTGGGAAAAGATATACCAAGTAGCCATTCTAGATAGTTTTAATGTCTTAATATTAGGATTTCTTGAAATGTAGTTAATATCAATCCAGAAAATAAATACTGTGAATTTTAAAATGCACAAATTATTTTATAGCTGGTTTATTTCCCCGGAAGACTCTTAGGTAATGAAGCCAGCAATCATTATTACTTTCCTTCCATATATTGGAGTTTTCATAAAACTTCATACATATACACTTGGTGATTTACTAGTATTACCCAGTAGCTCAGTATTGTTAGCCTGTTATGTATTATCAGTTGACTTTTACTTAGGACAGTACATTAAAATGTTTACTTTCCTATTATAGATTGTGTTCAACTGTACGCAATAGGAAACTTAACTTACAATGACTGAACCGAAGAAGGGTTTTGTTTTGCTCATTTAATAAATACTTGAGGTTAGGAAGCCTGGGGCTGGTACAGTAGCTCCATGATGCCATCTAGCATACAGGCTACTTCTGACTTTAAGTTCAGCCATCCTTACTATGTGGATCCATCTTTATGCTTATCAGCTTGTGGTAGCACTATGGCCACTAAGCCTAAAGCCTTTCCTCTATGTGTAAGCAGAAAGAGGAGTAACAAGGCACAAAAGTTTAGTTGACTCGTCTTGTGTGTTGTGTTTTGTTTTCCTTTAAAAAATTTTTTTATTTTGAAATATTTTAAGAAAAGTTAAAACATCGTGTGAAGAATTCCCCTATGTCCTTCACCCAGACTCTTCAACATTTTACCACATTTGCTTTATCATTTTCTTCCTACATGAGTGTGTGTATTTTAACTGTTTGACAATAAGTTATAAATATGCTGCCTCTTTATCCCTAGATACTTCAATGTGTATTTCTTAAAAACAAGGATATCTTATTATATAACCACGGTACAATTATCTGAATTAAGAAGTAACATTGATACAGTACTATTAATTAATCTGAAGACTTTGTTCAGTTTTTGCCAGTTGTCCCAATAATGTTCGTTTTGAGAAAAGAAATATTTTTTTGTTTAAGATCCAGTCCAGGATCACGTATTGCATTTAGTTATGTTTCTCTAGTCTAATATAATCTGGTACCTCAGTCTTTGTCTTACATGATCTTGACAGTTTTGAAAAGTATAGGCTAGTTATTCTGTAAAATGTCCTTCACTTTGGATTTGTCTAATATTTCTTTCTCATTAGATTTTTGAGAGGAATACCACTGAAATAATGCTACAGCCTTATCAAAAGGCATGTGTTAGTGGTTTGTTCATTTCTGGTGATGTTACCTATTTTTCCACTGTGAAGTTACTGTGTTTCCCTTTTGTAATTAATAAGTGTCTTGGTATTGACATTGTAAGTATTCTGTTTTCCATTGCTTCTTGATCCACAGGGTATAGCAGCTGATGATGATTTTCGTCTGAATCTGTTGACTCCTTTCTAAAGAATTTTCCTGTAGGTTCTGTCAAGCAGTGTCCACTTATATCTCCTTAGCAAAAGCTACATGGCAGCTTGGAAATGTAATGTTTTTAGCTGGCCACGGTGCTGCCTCAAACAAAAATCAGAATTCTGTTAATAAGGAGAAAGAGTAGAGTGGATACGCAAATCCACTAATACTTATTATTTCATTAATGAACTTAATATAAATAAAATGATTTGAGTACAAGACATCTTAATCTCCGTAAGACACCTTTCATCTTTGTCTTTAGAGCTACTCTGTTTGATGGGAAGTCTTATCCTTTGTACGCCCTGTCTGCATTTACATGGGGGGGAATGATATGTGGGCAAGAAGGCAGTGGAAGGAAGCTGTAATAGTATGGAAGACATGCAGTCCTTGTCCCCAGGCATGGGCGACTGCTTCTTCCTTGGTCCTTCACTGATGTATACTTTTGGGGTTGCTACATCTCATTTTTAACGAAAATTTTAGAAAACAGAACATTGAGAAAGCCTTTTAAGAAAGTTGTATCATGTTCCTGTTATGGTATTTCTTGAAAAAAGAGGCTCTGATCTTTTGTTTCCAGTGGAGAAGTCCCGAGGACAGAGGATCGGGGTAATGGGGAATCTGTAATATTCGTGACAAAATAGTCATGCTTTTGTGTGTTCATTAGAAACGTTTTTGGTATAAACATAGTGTATTTTGTGCAATTGTATGATTTTAATGCAGTTTATATGAACATTGTTTCTGTCACTTTTGTTTAGGAAGTTTATCGGAATTCTATGCCAGCTTCCAGTTTCCAGCAGCAGAAACTTCGAGTCTGTGAAGTTTGCTCTGCCTATTTAGGTCTTCATGATAATGACAGACGACTGGCTGATCATTTTGGGGGTAAACTGCACCTGGGATTTATTGAAATAAGAGAGAAGCTTGAAGAATTAAAGGTACATTGGTAAATTAATATCCCTCATAGCCACTCATTCTTTTGATCTGTGTAAGTTGTCTTTTTGTGTAGTATTCTTGATTGTGATTCAGGACTATTCTTAACTCTGATTCTGTTAACAGTTCATACTGAATAGTGTAGGATTGTAAATGGAAATACCAGCTTGTTTAATGGATGATATCTGAGAAACAGACTTTAAAAATCCTCTTACTCTGGGAGGAGGTACTATTTTTGTCTTGGATACGATGTTGAATTAGGGAGGAACGTTGCAAACTGGGTTCTAAAATAATGCCTAAAATTTCCAGTGATACTTTCTTTTTTTAATAAAACGAATAGTAATTTAATATATTTAGTTTAAAGGAAGATTAAAAAAATGATCCAATATTTATTTGAAATATTTTGCAGTTCACTAAATAGCAAACTGGTAGGACCTCTAGTTTTATGCTTTTGCCCCCATTTCAGAAAGGACTTAGAAACCTGCTTTTTTTTAAAAAAGGACAATCACTGTCGCTTAAATATATAGGCTGTTGTGAGAAAGGCAACACAGCTCTTACTCATCTGCTGAGTTCTGAGAAGATAAGCAAACAAAGGATATTTCTAAAGAGGTGAACATAAGCAGAGTCAATGGAAAGGATCAGTTTACTTTTCAACAATCTGATGTGGCTAGTTTTTTAAAAAAATGGTGGCACTGTAGCATTTTGTCATGAATTGAGGACTGTCTCAAAGATGGGAAACACTGGGAAGTGACTTTTTGTGCAGTTATCACTGAAATTAACCCAGGATCCATAGTTTGACATGTAAAATAATGTGGAATCAGAATCCCCTAGACACGTCTCCATATTTGTAGTTAACTGTGAGCTCGTCTCAGTATTTGGAGTAGCTAGGATGACCTTGGGTAAAGTTTTTGAAATTACAAAAAGAGTTTCACTACAGCAAATGATTGTTTGGCTTGAAGTTAAAACTCAAAAATGGTACCTAATTGGGAACCTTTGCAAATATAGACCTAGCAACAGAACTGTTTAGCATTTCACTGGTACTTTTTAAAAGCAGCAGCCTCAGGATTGTACCTAGAAGTCGACAGAAGACATCTCTATATTGGAAATCTTTAAAGAGTTTAGAAGACGTTAAGAGGAGAAAAATCTCGTGAAAGCGACTTTGAAATATTAAGAAGTCATGGAGAAACATGAAATTTTATATGGAAGGGGGGAAAG